AAGGAAGAGGGAGAAATAGCTGTGGAAGGGATTGCATTAAGCTATGTTTTCTAAAATGACAAGTGGAACAAGATGTGCTCATCAGTGACTTTCAGATAGAATATCTTCAGTTGAGGACTTGGGTTCTGTGAGATCAAGACCACTGGAGCCCTCAATCTCTGCTTCTCACACTCTTTGCTTTGACAACAGCATTATCATTCCTTAAGCTGTTGGCCTAAAAACCTTGAGTTTATCCTTGACTCTTCCTTCTCCTTTGATCTTTCTATAAACCTGTTATAAAATTCTGTTATTCTATTCATTCCCACCTCACTGTCCACCACATGTCCTGAACAGGGCTTCAGGGGTGGCAAAGATCATTTAGAGCTAAAATGCTCACCGGAGCCATTAACTCATGAGCATCCAGAGATGTGAACCTGATCCCATCACTTACTAGTTTGACCTTCAGGAAGTTCCTTACTCTCTTTGCCACTGTACCCTATCTCTAAAAGAGATATTACTTCACAGACACAGCTAAGGAATACATGAGACACACACCACTGCATCACAGTCATCATGGGACAAGGTAGGATTGAACTCGCAGTCAGAGGTTACAGTTTAATCAGAGCAAAGATGAGGAAAGGATGAAGGCCTATTGAATAGATTGTGAGTCATCTGCTTGAGTTGAGGCCCAGGAAAGTAGCGAGCAGAGAGACAGGCCCAGCAGAGACAGAAGGCTAGAAAGGCAAGGTTGGTTGTGGTCCTTTCATGGAGCACTTACATAGCAACCTGTGGGACTTGTGGTGGCTTTTATAGTGACAAGAAAACTGAAGGTTTCCCTAATGAGGAGAAACACGATCAAAATGTGCTCTGACTTAATGTGGCAGACAAGAATGGCAGAAGTGGAGCAGGAGGAGTCCAAGATGGGTCACAGTTTCAGGATGGACTACAGTGGTGCCATGGGCCAGAAAGAGGGGGGTTGGGAGGAGACACTGGCTCCCACAAAGGCGATGTCAACTCACTGAAACGGAGAGGGTGGCAGTGCTGAAACTGGAAACTAGGAATAGCTAGTAGGAGGATGCGTGTGCTGACCTTGAGTTGAAAAATGCTGAGCTGGCAGAACAAACTTTGAAGCCGTCCATGAGAAATGATACTTAAAACCACCAGCCTGGGTAAATGCCCTGAAGGAGTTCAGGTAGAGGAGGAGAGACCCATAAGAGACAGTTCCCTTAGAGGGAGAAAAAGCAGGCAGAAAAGAAGAAAACTGGGATTGGCAGCATCACAGATTTAAAGGAAGAAAGGAGTGTCCAATCCTGCAAATAAGGAAATTTTGAATATGGCACGCCGGCATGAGGGCCCTTCAACAGGGCAGCTATGGGACCAGGTACGCTTTCCTGTGGTTTCCATAATAGCCTGACGTAATCCAAGGCCAAGAACAGTGGCCACTTGAAACAGCTGTGTCATCTTGAGTTGAATGACCTCTGTAAAGCATCCTAAGTCCATTGCCAGGTATTGTGGATCAAAGAGAACTTGGCCCCCCAAACTCATGCTGATGGGTGAATTCTAAAGTCTTGTGTTGAGGGTTGGTCAGAGTGGACACTTGATCTAATCACAGTGTCTGAAGCCTGGACGTGGTGGGACATCCTTCATGGGTAGTTCTCGAGAGAGGTCTGATTATTTCACTCGAGTTAGGCACATTTTCTCTGTTTCCTTGCTCACCCTGTGACCATCCTTCCACACCCACTCACTCCACCACTACCAGTTTCCACCAGACACCAGACTATTCAGGCCACCTGACCCTGAACTGTGAACCCCCAAATTGCAAGTGAAAATCGACATTGTCCTTCTCAAGAATTCTCAAGAGTTCCTCCTCTCATATTCTAGTTCAAGTAAATTTTAGGCTAATGCACTCGGTCACCCCACATTGAGTTGCTTTGTCTGTCTTAGAAGAGAAATCGCTTACTTTGACTTTAACGTGCGGGCAGGGCAAGTCCCCAACTGAAAGGGAGTTGTTTCTTTAATCCTGCTCTCTCTGGACTTGAAGGCTCTTTTAATCTCTTGCCTATGTCCAGTGCTATCCAAGTCAGACTGAAATCCATCTCCATTGTTAACAACTCCAGAGGCAATTCCTCAACAACTTCTGGTGGTTTGTGCTACACATTCTGAAAACTCTTGCCCAGGTCAACTAGAAAATAGGCCTTGTGACCCAGAGTTTCTAAGAAACACACTTGACAAATTGAGGAATGAGTCAATCAATGGGAAAAATGAAGTCAGAGGTGGCCCTGCATCTGAAAGGACAGCACACAGGGTCACCGGCCACTGAGGGAATGGATTGTAGAGGAGGTGCCGGGGCCAGTGTCCTGGGGACTGCGCTGCAGGGCTCTCCAGCTCAGTGGTCATGCCCAAGAACATCAAATGCTTGAAGCACAAAGCAGCACTTGTCTTGCACTCCAAGAATAAACTCCAATGAAGTTATTCACGAAGAATGATATCCCGAATGCCAGACACTGTGCTGGGGAACTTAGGACACAAAGTCAAATCGTGCTAAGGTCTTGTCACTGGCGATTTTCCATTTCTTGGTGCCTAGAACTGATAATTATTGAGATCGTGTATGGCGCTCAAAGCAAAGGGTGCCACTTAGCAGAAAAGGGGGTGTGCTGGAAAGAAAGTGTGGGAGGACCGAGTACAGTGCAGAAAGAATTAGGATAAACATGCTTGCTACAGCTAATGAGACAGAGCTTGTAGGGAAGCTATGGGAAATAATGAAATAACGTTTATTCAGATTTCTAAGAACACTTTCAGTCATTCAAACATTTATTGATCACCTCCTAGGTGCCAGGCACCAGGTTGGGCAGCAAGGCATGATGGCAGAGTCCCTGGAAGAGTGAGCAGCCTATTGGGAGAAACAAATGTGAGCAAACAACTGTGGAACAGCATGAACGATGCAAACAGGCAGCTGTGAGATGCTACGAGAGGCAAGGGAGACTCAAAGAGAAACTCAGAACAGCAGAAAACATGTTGCTTTTCTGGGGACGTCATCTGACCTACGTGTGGTAGAGTACTGGTGTTTGTAGACTCGGTACTCACAAACAGTGACTCTCCCATGAGAGATGCAAAGTTCCCGGACATTAGGTGACTCGCAGAGACATAAATTTGACCTGACTGATACAAGGCCAGAGTGCACTTCCCAGCTATTTAGCTAGCAGGTGGACTATATCCAACACCTGGCACCTGTGACCTAGTACAGCTTTGCTCTCCTCTTTTTACTGACATCTACACAGTAATTCTCCTGCTAGGATGAGCTTTTTCTTCTTTGTAGAGTTGGGGAAATATAGAGTTGATAAGGTAATGATACAAGGTAATAAAGTAAGGGGTTTATTTTAATGACAAACTTTTCAAAAATAGCTTTGGAAATTGCTATAGCCCCATATTTCTAGAACTATTAAGAGCTGGAAAGGATTCCTTCCATTTTTTCAGTTACATTTTACTGCACTTTATGGTGCAAATTATATGCCATGATGGCACTCATGATTTTGAAGACTCACCAAGGTCCTCAACGAAGCTTCTGAGAATGTCAAGGGTCATTGGCACTCAACTGCATATGACAAGGTCTTTAAGTCTGGAAACTCAGCAATATTCTCCCTTGCATGACTTTCCTATGATCTGGGAAGACTAACATTGCCCTTCCCTGTTTATGGGGGCTTAGCCAGTGTCACCAGATTGACAATGGTGATATTTACCCCCCAAACTGCAGCCTGACAAGTAGCTCAAATGAACACAGCTACCTAAATTCCTCAATGGAATGATTTTATTTTAGTCTATCTGTCGGAACCTGATAACCACTAAAGCTCAAACTCTGGCCTCCTTCCCAAAATACCTTCCACACACTTCAAGCTTAACATGATTGCAACCACAGCCCCAACCTGCTTTTGCTCTGTCTCCTTCAGACCAAATGTATTTGATCACCAAAGCCAGAAAACTCAGTCTGCCTAGACCTTGACCTGACATCTAATCCATTACCGAGTCAATCAATTTTACCTCCTAAAGGTCTCCCAAACACAGCCAGGCCTCTCCAGCAGCACAGCACTACCCTAGTTCAAAGCCAAATCATCTGCCACCCCAATATCCTGAAATCCTGCCTTCTCTATCCTCCACATTGATACAGAGGAAGCTTCCTCGAAAGGCCAATCTGTTGAAGATCCAGCCATGGTCCCATCAAAATCTGATTGTCGGACAGTGATTCTGATGCCCGTGGGCCACACACAGCACCTGGAGAAATGTCTTGAGTGTGAGCTTTCTCCCCTGGAACATGCCAAGTCCCCCGATACCTCTACGCAGACGTCCATTCAACACTGGCCTCTGCACCCATCTCTTCTTGGAGAGCCTCGATCACTTCTTCACGGTCCAATGCAAGTGTCACTGTTGTAGTAGATGGCTCTCTCGTCTGGCCATCTCTGGCACTGGATTCACACCTGTCTCAAAACCTGTGTCACAGTTCACTGTGACAATCTGTGAACAGGTTTATCGTCTCCACACTCTGGTTCAACTTTGAAGCCCTAGTGCCTTGCAGGACGCTTGGTTCCTGCCAGACCATCAGTGCTTGCTGAGTGAAAGAACCAGCTGATAGAGGGCTGGGCTGCATGATGAGAGACCCATGTCCTCAAAAGAAAAAAAAAACTGCCTTTTGGCGAACTATAAAGTGAATCAAGGTGTCAGAAAAGTTAAAACAAGGATGAAGAGTGCTTTTAGATCTCCACCAATTTTTAAATTGCTCGTCACATCTGTCCAAGCTAAAGACTAACTCCGGCAGCCTCCTGTGGCCTGCTAGTCAGAAAATCACAGACTGCGGCACTAGATTCAGCCGTGGTTCCATGATCACAGAAAAAGTGCATTAAAAGAAGCTATTGGCTTTGAAAATATAAATGTAGAAAGATGCTCAGGAAGAGCCCGCGCTAAATACTTTTCCTGTCTGGCACATCCAACCACAATAGCAGACCCCAGACAGTGGTCACACTGTACACAACCTTCTGTATCCGTGGTGGCAGCTTCCACACTGACAACTGGAGCCAGGCTGGTCTTTGTTCATTGATTGGTTCTCAGATAACCTGGGGCCGCTGCTATGTGCCAGTCACTGTGCCACCTTCTGGGGAAACAAAGGCAAAATGGATCCCTGAGTCCAGGCTTTCTCTAGGGAAGATGGATTATCACAAATGAGTATCCAGATACTACTTAACCCTGCCTGGTTCTGATAATGACCCCAGGCTCCCCTTGTACCCAGCAGGCCTCGGGTAGCCTCAGCAGGGCCGCTAAAGCTTTTAACCCAGCTAGATGGTCATGCTGGACACAGCCTGCTTCGGGGTGCAGGGACACCCAGACGCAGTCCACGGTAAGCCTACGACCGCCCAGAATCTCTACTGTGGAGTGCTTTGTTCAAAGGCGCGACCCCTAGGGAAGAAAAGATTGGGGTGAGCCGAACTCTTACTTGAACCCATACGCAGGCATGCTGTAGACTGGTGTAGAGGCACGGAGCGATTCTTCGGGTGCCCCTTTCTAAGCACCGCGGTGGGAAAGAAGTAAAACCACGGCATCCACTGCCCCTTGCGGAGCCCGCACTTCACCCCTCCGCGAGGGTGGACACTGGGGGGACTTGGGAGGGGGCTCAAGCCTAACTCTAATGTCCCCAACTGTGCGGTGGACGACGGCCACGCCCACAGAAACCCCAACCCCTCGGCTGCCCTACACGCGCCCAGGGCCCCTGCAGGGCGCTCAGCTTCCCACCGGACTCTGGACAGCGCCGCGCCCTCCGAGGCGGCGTTCACCACCCCTCGCCGGGCCCGCGCCCCGCCCCGGCCCCACGTGCCGGCCCCACCCCGGGCGCTGGCGGCCCTTTAAACACCCCCACCCTCACACACTGCCCCCCCCCACCCGGACGGCAGCCGGAGAGGGACAAAACTCATGGCGTACAGCCAGTCTCCTCCGCGGAGCACGTCAGGGGCAGCCCCAGCCCGTGGGGCTCTCCAGCCCCGGCCGCAGCCCCCCGGCGACCCGCAGGCTCCGGCTGCCGGCCGGAGGGGCGAAGGCGCAGTCCAGCTGCAGGGCGGGGCCGGCGGGAGCGCGGGGCCGGCCGCCGCCGCCGCCGTTGCCTCCGCCTGCCGCGCGGGCCGCCCGCTCGCCCGCCGCTGGGTGCGCTGCACACGGGGGGCAGCCGCGGTGCAGAGGTTCATGCAGCAGCGGCGGCGGCGGCGGCGGCGGTTGCTGCTGCTGCTGCCGCCGCGGAGGCAGACAAACCGGGCGCTGCTGTCGCCGCCGCCGCCGCCCTCCCCCGGCTCCATGCCGCCGCCTCCTCCTCCTCCTCCTCCTCTCCGGCGAGGGGCGGGGGGCTCCGGCCCGGGGTGGGCAGCACTCCTCGCAGAGCCGCTCCCCTCCCTGCCCTCCGCCTGGGCGCGGGAGCTGGCGAGGGCGCCCGCCGCCTCCTAGGGGCGCACGCTCCGCGCGCCCTGCCCGAGCGAGGGGGCGGGCGTGGGCGGGCGTCGGGGCAGCTGGGACCCGGTGCGGCGGCCAGAGCAGGGGGCTTCCCCGGAGAATGCCCGGCGGCGACTGCTCCCCGCTCCCGGGTGCGAGCTGAGCCGGACCGCGAGCGAGCGAGCGGCGCGGCGCCATGCCGGCCTGACGGGCGCCCCCGGCTGCCCGCGCGGGCCCCCGCGCTGCCCCGCGCCGCGCCGCGCCGGCGCCGGGCGGCAGGATGGGCTGTATCCAAAGCATCACCTGCAAGGCGCGGATCCGGCGCGAGAACATCGTGGTGTACGATGTGTGCGCCACCATCGACCAGTGTCCCACGCGCATCGAGGAGACCTCGCCCATCGTCCTGCGCTACAAGACCCCCTACTTCAAAGCCTCGGCCCGCGTGGTCATGCCCCCCATCCCCCGCCACGAGACCTGGGTGGTGGGCTGGATCCAGGCGTGCAACCAGATGGAGTTCTTCAACACCTACAGCGACCTGGGCATGTAAGTGACCGGCTGCGCTGCGCCCGGTGGGGTCCCGGCCCCCGCCCCGCTCCTTCCCCGCGCGGTCCCCGTCCTCTTTCTAAATCTCCCTCCCGACTCCCCACCCTCCGCCCCCCGCCTCCCTGCGCTTTGTTTCAGTGACAGGGCGGGTGTGGGGAGGCTCCTCATGGGGGCATTTTCTCGTGGTTTGCTTCTGACTTCCCAGACGCGCGAGGAGGACGGTGCGGGGCTGGAGAGGCGGAGGTCGGGGTGACTGGGAGTTTCGGGGCCCGGTCTGGTGTTTGTGGGGCTTCCCGGGAAGAGTTTGGGGGGCACTGTAGGGAGGGGAGTGGCGCGCAGTGCCGGGGGCGCATGGGCTGTGCCGCGCGTCCTTTGGAGAAAGCGGAGCAGGCTTGGATGGGAAGGTCCCGGGCGTCCGAACAGGAGTTGGTGGTTCTGCCCTTGCCACCTCTCGGCTGTCGGATTCGAGCCCTAGTGCCTAGGCAGCCTGGAGGTGTTCGTGTCTAGAACAGCAAGCACGGCAGAGCCCTCTGTGCTCCGCGACCTCGGGCCACGGTCTGGGGCGGTGGGCAGCTGAAAGGCACCCGGCGCGTCCGGGCAGAGCAAGGCTGATGGCCTTGTGCGAGTCGCTTCCGGCTAGCGCGGCGCGGGGTGCTCCTGGTGCTCCAGGAAAGAATAGGTCTCTGGCTGTCTAGGGTCTTTACTTTCCGAAACTTTCCTAATTGCGCCACTGGAAGGGATTCTCCGGCGCCCACCACCGAATCCTGCCGGCGAGCTGGGAGCTCTCCAACTTCTTTCAGCAGCGCCGGTTGGTGCGCGCCGGGCTGGGCGGCTGCGGTGGAGACCCAGGATCGCTGCGGCTTCTTCTTCGGCCGCCAGGGGCCGACAGCCGGCCCGGGATCCGCAGGCTACGGGCAGTCTTGTCCCAGACTTTTTAATTTACCATTTCCTAACTCCTTGCCCGCCTCAGTTGGGAACTAGACTCGAGGCAGTTGGCAACTGCAGTGGCTCGCGGGTCTGGGGCCTGCTTTCTGCCTGCTGTTAACAATGTAGATCTAGAACACCCAAATTAGCCTGCAGCCTAGAGGGAAACCCTTTTTTTTTTTTTTCTGAAAATTCAACCTCATTTCACTTATTAATCGAAAACTCTACAGCTCCCAAGGTTCACCTATTTAATATGGATATGGGATGGGGGAGTACTCGTTTTAAAAGGTCAGACCATCTTTTCAGCAGGCGCTGGCAGGGTTTTTATTGCACTCTGAGAGCATGGAAGTTAACACTAGTCAGAAGCGCTAAAAGGAATTTTGACAGGTCGTTTTGTTTCCTTTTTTTCTTCCCAAGGAGTTTGCACTTCTCTCTTTAAGCCTAAAAGCTCAGTGCTGGAGAAAGTTCTTTTCCTGGTGAACAAATGTGAATCTGGGCTTGCACACTGTAAGACAGTGAGACGTGAGCCATGGGGGACGTATTATTTTGGGTGAATCATGCCATTGAAAAACAGACACAGCCTCCAAAGAAGGATTAGATTTGAACCCATGCATAAGACCACCCATCCTTTCCAGCCAGGCCAGAGAAAGCCACCCACACACACCAGGCAAGGGCCCTCTCTTTCTCATGCCCCTGGCCTCACCTTGATGATGGTGGGTAATGTTGATGGAAGACGCCAGCTGCTCTCCATGGGATGAGAGACCAAGCAAAACTATTGCAAAGGCAGCCTCACTCTTCCCAAGACTGTACTGTGGGGCTCTTTGTTGCCTGTGATGTTTTGTAAATCAGTAAATAAAGAGCAAGTAAGTTTTCCTTTCCATAAAACGTGTTCTGCCGCTGGAGAAGTTGATTTCAGATACAAACAGATGTGCTAGTTGAACTTCCTTGGGCTCTGGAAGAGGGTGTGCCCACCCTGGAGCTCACTTCATGAGGCTTGAATCAGCGACAGCTATTCCCTGGCCATTTTTCCACCGAATTCTCACGTTTGGATTTGTACAGTTTGTTCCCTTTTTAACTGTAACTTTCAGTATTTCAGGGTTCTGGGTTTTGGTATTGATGCAGGGAAGCAAAAATACCACCCAAGAAATTATAAAACCTATTATTAGAGATCCGTGTCCAGAGCCCGTCTGCCTCTTCATGGTTGCAATAATTGCTGCGTGTTTAAGGCCACTTTGGAGCCCAGATTTTATTGAACCAATTTCCACAAAATGTTTATGCCCTGAAAACTAGGCCAATGTAAACTTTTTAATGGAAGCTCACATTGCATGAATGCTGGTGCCATCTTTAGTTATTATGCCTGCTTTCCCTGGTACCTTGAGTAGAGAAAACACTACAGGCTGAATTTTCAGTCCTGTGCAGTGTTCTGTCACATGAATCATGATGTGGCAAAGAGGTTTGGGTTAGAAAGCTGCCTTCTCAATATTTTTTTTAAAAGACTGTGCAAGAGGAAACCCACAGCTTGAAATGGGAAGAGTATCTACAAGGTTGAAAGAAAACACAGGCTTTGTGGTTTCAATTTTAAACATTTGCAAGAAGGGCTCAGGTTCTAAAAGAACATTTGAGATATTTGCTGGCCATCATGGCCAGAGCTTCATTTGAACTTGAGCTCGAGTGATGTGGCACTTCCTCAAATGAGTCTATGGAAAGTAGGCTGACAAGTGCATGTGGCATCTGTGTATTTCTCATCCGGCCCTGGCGAGTCCTGCTGGTGTTGAACAGACTGCCACACATCTTCATCCTTCACGGGGAAGGGCTCCTTGGCTCGTCTCAGTCAGCCCAGCAATAAACAAATATTTACCAAGTTCCACTGATAAAACAGGCATCAGCCGAGAAGACAAAGAAATAGGCAGGCAGCCTCACTGTTCCTCCATGTGGGGGGTGTGGACACATGCAGGGAAAACCAGGGTTCCCCAGCAGAGTGGGAGAAGCTGCTGACAGAGGTGAGGGATGGACGGGACAGGGTTTTCTTTAAAAAAATTATTTATTTGAAAGGCAGAGTTACAGAGAGAGGAAGAAGTGTACTCATATAGAGAGACATGGATCTTCCACCTGCTGTTTCACTCCCCAAATGGCAGCGATGGCTGGGGCTGAGCTAGGCCAAAGTCAGGAGCCTAGAACTCCTTCCGGGTCTCCCATGTGGGTACAGGGGCCCAAGCACTTAGGCCATCTTCCTGCTGCTTTCTCAGGCACATTAGCAGGGAGCTGGATGGAAAGTGGAGCATCTGGGACTTGAACCTGCACCCATATGGGATGCAAGCATGGCAGGCAACAGCGTGACACTCTGAACCACAATGCTGGCCCCATGAGTGATGAGTTTTCTAGAAGTGAAAGGACTCAAGCTGGACTCTGAGTGGCAGACAACAATCAGCTAGATGAGAACAAGGGACTCATTGCAAAGGGGAAGAAGTTGCCCACGGAGGGAGGGGGTTGCTAAAGCAGCATTTGTAGGCTGGAGGGGCACCAGGTCAAGGCCCTTCCCACTCTGAGCCCAGGGGCGTGGTCTTCTAGAGCTGTAAGGGTGGTCAGCCTGGGGTGTGGGGGGAAGCCATCTCAACTGCCCTCCAGGAACTCTGGCCTGGAGGAACCCTGGGACAGTCATAGCTCTGTGCACTTCCTTCAGGAGCCAACTCCTGCCCATCTCTGTTGGGATTTGACTCCACCCACCCACCTTTTTGCCTGTTTGCTTCAATCCCAGTGGGTCTCTGTTGGGAGACTGCTCTTCTGAAGTTCATGTGTTGCCAAATCCAGCAGACACTTTCAAAGCTATCTTTTCTGCATGATTCCATGTAGTGGATAGCTTTCTCTCTGTCTTGTAGCACACCCTCACTGTAGCTTCCATGCTGTTTTCCCATCTATTCCTCTGTTTCTGTATCACCGCAGAAGGCAGTCTAGCAAGATGTGTTCTTTTGGATTCCGTCCTCTCGCTTGGTAGTTCTGTTCATTGCAATGGCAGGAGGTGCTCTCTGTGGTCAGCAGCCCTCTCCAGTCCAGCTGTGTCTGTGCAGCTTCCGTTTGGCCATCTGCTCAAGCGGTAACATCTGTGCATCAACATCTCCCCACATATCCAACACATCCAACTCGTCTGCAGACCCTACTGACCCCACCTCCAAGGTACATGGGTAAGCCAGGCACTGCTCTCCTACTTCCGCCGCTGCCATCTTCAGGACATGTCACCACCCACTACCACCTGCTCGCGCACAGGATGTCTCACTGAACTTGCCACCTCCATTCTTGCCCTTCTTGCGATCTGTTTCCCACCCAGCAGTCAGAGTGACATATCAAAAGCCCAGGCTGTTACTTTCCTTGTTTAACCCTTTTATGACTCTGTCACAGTTGGGATGCATTTCAAAAATGAGCTTCGTTTTGAAGGCCATGGTGGCTTTCTCCAGTTCTTCAAAGGAGCCACCTTTATCCCAGCTCAGAACCTTCCTAGATGCAGCTGCTGAGCTGAAATGTTCTTCCTGCCTGCCCTGTTCTACTTCATTCCTGACCTTCCTTCAAGTCTCAAGCCTTACCTCCTGAGAGAGGCACCTCTGCCTTCACCCTTTAAATTAGGGACCTCCTGTTCTTTTCCTTCATAACGCCCTGTCCTTTTGCTTGTTCCAGTTAATAATTGTTTAACTTCTGACTTGTTCCCTAGCCTATAAATTCCATGAAAGTAAGGCATTGTATCCATTTGCTTTCCGCATAGTACCTGGCCCATAGCAGATATTCAATAAACATTTGATACAAAATAAATGATCCATTTTTCTAATCTCAGATAGTTTGTGTCCTCTTTAGCAGATCCTGCCTCTTCAAATGGGCTTCTCACTTTAATGCCCAAGAGTTTGCTCATCACAAAGGTGTACTTTTAACTCTACAGTGCCTGTGTGTTCTTTTGTTCTGCATTACCCACCTGGTGGTCTCCTGCTGAGCCTACTGCATGGGGCTGTCACCTTCTTTGTCTCTCTGAAGCCTTGCTCTCAATCACCTACCTGATGAACAACAGCATTCAATGCCAGACGTGACATAGAAAC